CGCTTTCATTGAAAAATTAGAAGAAAAAAGAAATGCAAAATTTGCACTTTTCTTCTATAACTTTATTTTCTGTAAGCTTTCTTTAACAAAAAATTCGTTTGAGTGTGAATTAGTTCATGCTAAAAATGTTGATTTCAAACTTATGAAGAATTCTAAATAGTCAATAGTGTCTGCTGCCAATAACTCCAAATTAATAAAGGAGTCAAATAATAAACAAAATTCTGCTTAAATCTACACTAAAACGTTTTTATTTTATTTTATTTTATTTTATTTTATTTTATTTTATTTTATTTTATAACTTATGTTCAAATTAGATTACGATTACAATTTGAGATTTACGACCATCAGTATTCAACTTCGTGGCCTTAAAATTTTCAAACCAAATAAGAAGATAAGTCATTCATCTTCAATCAAGCATTTAGACAAATCAGAATTCGTGAAGAAATTTTCGATGGAACTAACCCACAATTGCGTTACATGGAGAGCCCTCCCACGGTTAGCCCGATTGCAAGTGGATTCCAACCCATGATCCGTCTACTACTAACGATATTTTTATGTCAGCACTGTGTGTGGTGTGAATCAGAAGCAAAATCGTATCGAGCAGTCATCGCTGGGTTTTGAACCAAGGTAGCCTAACTTGGAGACGAGAGCTCAATCCTTTCGTGCCATAGCGGCTGGCACCCAAGTAATTGCATTTTATTTTAAAAAATAAAATTGTCGTCGAAAATTGTTAATTAAATCGTTGAACAACCGACTCAATTTTCTGAGATTACGACTATACGAACTTCGTAACTTTGTAAATTAGAACCCAATTCAAAAGACAAGGAAACTCCTAAATCAAGCTATTGGGACAAAGTAACCTTCGTGGAGGTTAATTTGTTCCCTGAAAATATTTTTATGTCAGCACTATGATCAACGAGAGATGCGCTGAGATGCGAGCCCACGCTGAGATGCGAACCTGTGTCACCTCATTAAGAGGCGAGTGCTCTATTCTGGAATCACTGATACCTAAATAATTCGAAAATTCGGAGAATGTTTAATTATAAAACTTTTCAAATTCGCTGAAAATTGAATATCGCTTCCAAGTTGTACTTTATTACCATGGCAATTAATTTATTTTAAACAAATCAACCATCTTTAGAAAGTTTATATAATATTATGAGTAAATAATATTATGAAAAACTATAATTTAAAGAATATATAATATTAAGATATTGACATTAATTATTATTGACGCGTTGAGTATTTTTTTTTTCAACATTGCATAAATTCCATGAATGTAAATGTGTAAATGGAAGTGTAATGTGACTTTAACTTTTGTTCTGAGTTTTTTTTACATGAAATGAAAATAATCTATGAGACAGAAGTNTATTTTATTTTATTTTATTTTATTTTATTTTATTTTATTTTATTTTATTTTATTTTATTTTATTTTATTTTATTTTATTTTATTTTATTTTATTTTATTTTATTTTATTTTATTTTATTTTATTTTATTTTATTTTATAACTGATGTTCAAATTGGATTAGGATTAAAATTTGAGATTTACGACCATCAGTATTCAACTTCGTGGCCCTAAAATTTTGAAACCAAATAAGAAGATAAGTCATTCATCTTCAACCAAGCATTTAGACAAATCAGCCTTCGTGGAGAATTTTTCGATAGAACTAACCCACAATTGCTATGCATGGAAAGCCCTCCCATAGTTAACTCGATGTCAAGTGGATTATAACCCATGATCCGTCTACTACTAACGATATTTTTATGTCAGCACTATGGGTGGTGTGAACCAGAAGCAAAATCATATCGACCAGTCATCGCTGGGTTTCGAACCTAGATAGCCTAACTTGGAGACGAGAGCTCAATCCTTTCGTGCCATAGCGGCTCGCACCCAAATAATTACATTTTATTTTAAAAAATAAAATTATCGTCAAAAATTGTTAATTAAATCGTTGAACAACAGACTCAATTTTCTGAGATTACGACTGTACGAACTTCGTAATTTTGTAAATTAGAACCAAATCCAAAAAACAACGAAACTCCTAAATCAAGTTTTTGGACAAAGTAAACTTCGTGGAGGTTAATTTGTTCCCTGAAAATACTTTTATGTCAGCACTATGGTCAACGAGAGATGCGCTATGATGCGAGCTCACACTGAGATGCGAACCTGTGTCACCTCATTAAGATGCGAGTGCTCTATTCTGGAATCACTGATACCTAAATAATTCGAAAATTCGGAGAATGTTTAATTATAAAACTTTTCAAATTCGCTGAAAATTGAATATCGCTTCAAGTTGTACTTTATTACCATAGCAATTAATTTATTTTAAACAAATCAACCATCTTTAGAAAATTTATATAATATTATGAGTAAATAATATTATGAAAAAATATAATTTAAAGAATATATAATATTAAGATATTGACATTAATTATTATTGACGCTTTGAGTATTTTTTTTTTCCAACATTGCATAAATTCCATGAACAACGCGAAATTTTATGGAACTGTAATGTGACTTTAACTTTTGTTCTGAGTTTTTTTTACATGAAATGAAAATGATCTATGAGACAGAAGTTTCTTCCCATGGGGGTGGGGTGGGGGTGCAAACTAGATGGCGCCTAAGGAGTTTAACTCATTCACACTGAAGGCAACTTTAAAAATCTCTCAAATCTATCTGCTCAAAACAAAGAGCTATTCCACATTGCTTCAAAAAATATAGAAAATCAAATATCTCCTTTTTATCCACAAACGGTTGCCATATTGTGTTGTAACACACTTTCCAATAAGTGACCTTCTCTTTGTATGAGTACATTCACAACCATGCTCTCTGTATAAACAGAAATATAACTCTGATTGGCACTAGTGTCTGTGATTGGCAGTGTTACCATGACGACGCCTACTTAAAGTCCCGCCTACGCAGTGCAATGATCCACCAATGAAACGGCGTCTGAGGCATGTATCGGCTCGAGACACCTATCGATGGCGTCTTCCCGCCCCGGAGTTTAGCACTAATAGTAGTGAGACGTTTGTAGGGCTGCTACAATTTGGCGCGTTATCATATTAAAACTGTTATGAGTTTTAAATTATTTGTTTATTTTTTGTACTCTAATTATTATTTAAATTAAAAGAAGTTAGAACGTCGAACTAAAATTTAAACTGCAATTAGAATTTTCATATTAGGATATTTTTTTTGTAAAATTAGGGAATAAAAAAATATTTATTGGAGTTGAATTGAGAAATCTGTAATAAAACAATTAATTTAAAAAAAAAGTTCTGTTAATTTACGTTTTTCCCTTATTAACAGTTTAATATAAATAGGTTTCTATGAATGATTTCTTAAAAAAAAATTTTGTTACATTATTTTTTACATTCAATGTCGAATTTCAATATTTCACAATGTATTTTATGAAAACTAAATTACAAAACGGATGTTTTTTAAATTAATTTTTATTTCACTTTTTCTTGTGTGATACTTTTCCATAAAACTTCTCGGTATACACTATGTTTTTTTCCCTTCCTTTTTTTACAAAAAACTAAGCGGATAACACATAACACTACTGATAATAGACAGAAATAATAAAATCTCGTAAATACGAATACTAAAACTTAATGTTAGATATTAAGTAAATAAAATGTATAATTATCTGGTTAATTAAAAGAATTTAAGTCCTGTCATAAAGCTCTTTCATGTGCCATTAATTTTTTGATATAATTTAAATTTTATTCTTTTTTTGAATTACAAACATTATTTTTTAAATTTATCCAGAAATGCCCAAAAATACTTTAGTTTTTTTAAATTTCTTAGTAGATTTGCAGTAAGTGAAATATGTGCACTGTTCAAGTTTTTAAAGTCGCTCTGATATGTTATTTTTATATGATACCCCCAGTAGGAAGTAAATTAGACATAAAAGTGTGCATTTATGTAAAGTAAGAAATCAAGACTTTTAAGATGACATGTTTTAAACTGAAAGCGTTGTTGTATTTTATTTCAGCGTATCAATGTTATGGCTTCACTTGGAGTAATTTCTAAACTTTGTACTGTACACTGATACGTTTTTTTCCCCCTCATGGTTTTGTCAAAGAGTGCTGCAGTAGCAGAATGAGTACTAACAAAATGTACAGTAAGCTTGGACAATATTAATAAATGCATAATTTTTTTTTAAAGTTTCGGAGGACTACAAATTAATAACAAGAAACGATGCAAAATAATGGATTATTTAACAAAAACAATGCATTGCAATGTTTCTTTCTTTAATTTTTATTTTTTTAAATGAGTTGCAATACAATGAATGAAAATTGAAAACAATGCATTGTTTAATAAAACAATGAAAAACTGTGAAATACTTATAGAATCAAAAAGCTGTGGCGATATATTGGTAACACAAAACAAAGCAATGTTTGATTCAACAATCAAAATCAATATATTGCTTTATTGAACAATGAGAGGCATTGCAATGTTTGATTAATGTCGCTATTAAACGTGTTTAATATTAAACAAGTTTAAAATAATTAGAATAATATGTTAATGGATGAAATTTCCTAGATTCAATAAATGTAAATCTAGTTGGAAATAAGGAAGATAAAAATAAATAAATGATATAGATTCCACAAGTGATTTTCATCTTATTGATAAGAATCTAACTGGAGAAACAATAGTCATTAATAACACGAGGAAAAATTCGTTTCATAAACTAGAATAATAACTTCTAAATATGATTTCAAAAAATGTACCATTTGCCCACCAAATCAAATTTCTTAAATAAAAAATATTATTTTCACTTGATAGTATCGCTGAATAAACATAACACAGATTAATTCTTTAAAGAAACTTTCTCATCTTTGGTGTCATTGGCGCAGTTCACCTGTATGCTTGGCGCTTGGTCGGATATCACGGGACCGGTTTCATCCTTGGCGGCGAGAGAATCGCTTTCACTGCGGCAACCCTGGCCGTATGCACGAGGGGACGTGAGGCTAAAAGAGGATCGAACACCTCCTCACTTACTACTGAGACAAGGGAGTTGGAACGACCGGCCATAGGACACCTTCCGTTTCTATTTACTGCCCCTCTTCTAAGCTGAGCTGTCCACACTTCCGCCATTAAATACCACCAGACGATAATAAGAGGGGGGATCAGCACCCATTCGTCAGGCAGTGATGGCTTTAGGACTGGGCCCCGCTGCAGCGGCGGCCTACAGTCCCATGTTCGTCCTTCCGACGCTTAATTTTACCGTTAACCAGGTGGCAGCGGTATGCGAAACACTCGAAGAAAGTGGGGACATTGAAAGATTGGGACGATTCCTGTGGTCCCTGCCAGTTGCACACCCAAATTGCAGTGAACTCAATAAAAACGAGGCGGTCCTCAGGGCCCGGGCCCTCGTGGCCTTTCACACCGGCAGTTTCAGAGAACTTTACCACATTCTGGAGAGTCACCGGTTCACTAAGGCCTCCCATACCAAATTGCAAGCCATGTGGCTCGAGGCCCACTATCAAGAGGCCGAGAAACTAAGGGGTAGGCCCCTGGGGCCAGTGGACAAATACAGAGTTCGAAAGAAGTACCCTCTGCCAAGGACTATTTGGGACGGAGAACAGAAAACTCACTGTTTCAAGGAGCGAACCCGAAGTCTTTTGAGAGAATGGTACCTCCAGGACCCCTATCCTAATCCGACCAAAAAGAGAGAGCTGGCTCAGGCCACAGGACTTACTCCCACGCAGGTCGGTAATTGGTTCAAAAACAGACGGCAAAGGGACAGGGCAGCAGCAGCGAAGAATAGGTAAATTATTATTTTTTATCCATATGTTCCTCTATTTTGATGTAATTTTTTATAGCCAGCATCTTGATATTGCCTTTCTAAAGTTGATATCAACGTTAACAATTTGCGGAATCGGTTTTATTTTAACAAATCTTCGCAGGTCTATTTTAAATAGTATCTTTAAAAGGTTTGATCTAGAATAAAATGTAACTAATATTTATGTATAATAATATTAACATCTAAATTCTCTTCTTCAAAAATGCATTTGCGTGATTGAATTGTATTAAATTCAAAAACACTGATTTCTAGAAATGTTATTAAAGTGACGATAAAACCTTGTTTATCTTAAATGTCTATCTTGTCTAATTAATAGGACAAATCGTTAAATAAGTTGGCTTTAAACTTAATTTTCACGTAATACATAAACTAATATTTCATACTTTTCAAAGGACTTCAAACGAGGCTTAGAGTTTGTAAAGTGTTTGTTAAAAAAATTTAAAACAGCAATATATTTGAATAGTTTGAATTTATATATTTATTGGGGAAAAAAACTTCAAAAACACTGAGTAGAGGGGGAAAAACATAGCAGTGTGTTTTGTCATAATATTAATGTATACCATTAATTATTATATGTTTCAAAATTTATTTTTCTTGAAATTTATTTTTATGTACGTATAACATAAATGTAACAACTTATAGTAAGAATTATTTGCGTGTAAATGGTATAAAAATAAAATGTTGATGAAGCTTTGAAATAAAAAATAATTATGTTAGGCCCATATGAAACCTGTTGTAAATATTAACATAAGGACTTTTTTGCACACATTAATCCTCTTTAAAAGTGAATTTGTAAAAGTTTTAAAAAATAAAAACGGTTATCAGTAAATTAATGTACATAACAATAAAATATAGCAATAAGTAGGGCAATAGATTTTGTAATAGCTTCTGCAATAGCGTCTGGAACAAAGTTGGAAAACTAAAAATAAATAATTTAAAATAACACCAATTATGTAATATGTCGATAAGACTTAAATTGCTAAAATTAAAAGAGAGAAACATTATTTTGAAACATTTTACTGTCTATATATACCACACAATATTCACGAAAACGAATACACGTTTCAAGTTTAAGTACCATAATTTAAAATAATTACATAATTTTTGAAAATAATTACCCTAATTATCTTAATTATAACTTATTCTCCATTGTTAGGGAATTTTCTTTACACGCAGCAAAACTTACGGATTTATTTATTAAAATGGGATTTTTGTTTTCAATAAATAACAAGCATTATTGTTTATTTTAGCTTTTTCAATGCTTCTTTTTTAATTTACTTGGGACGAAACATATTTTTTAGCGTAAAAGAAATAATTTAGATAGAGCTTGCTTAATCAAAACAAACGGCATAGTATTTAAAATCAAATTCTCGAAAGACATGTATAAATTTCCCTATTCAAAATGGTACCATATGGACTCTTCTGCAAGTTTAAAAAACTATAGATAAAACAATAGTCTTTGAAAGGAATCGACAAACACCGATTCTTCACCTTTAATAACTAAAAGGTAGTTTCTGGAGCAGAATTATTTTGGAAAATGTTTGATCCTGAATATATATTGAATAGAAAAGTAAACTTTTCAAGATTATTTTCAATTTTGGGGACCATTTAACATCAGTGCACATAAACCTATATCGATCAAGCGATATAAATTTATATTATTTGTTAGCAGAGGTAGACAATTTCTGATTACTGCTTATCATCGTGTCTTAAAATTTATGGCTGATTTCTAAATTTTATAATATACAATTGAGATGAAAGATTTTTGTAATTTTTAATTCCGTTAATAAAAATATCCTATTGTTTTCTGAAAAATGAATAAAAATTAATTTTATTGTCTTGAAACTTTTACCATCGTGTGTTAAAATTCATGACTGGTTTCTAAATTTTCATAATGCGCAATTGAGATGAAATATTTTTGTAATTTTAATTCTATTAATAAAAAATCCTGTTTGCTTTCTAAAAAAAATGATTTCATCGTCTTGAAACTTTAATCATCATGCCTTAAAATTTATGACTGGTTTCTGAATTTCTCAAATATTCAATTGAGATAACAAATTTTTGTAATTCTTACTTCCATTAAGACAAATCCATCTGTTTTCTAAAAAAAAAAATTTTTTTTTTCTATGTCTTGAAACTTTTATCATCGTGTCTTAAAATTTATGAATGGTCCTGAAAATTTAACTAATATTCAATTGAGATAACAAAGTTTTGTTATTTTTACTTCCATCATAACGAATCACGTTGTTTTCAAGAAGAAGAAAAATTCGGTGTCTAGACACTTTTGTTATCGTGTCTTAAAATTTATGACTGGTTTCTAAATTTCTATGCTATGCAATTGAGATAACAAATTTTGGGAAATTTTAATTTCATTATTAAAAAAACCCTGCTGTTTTCTATAAAAAAAAAAGTTGTCTTCGGTGTTTGGAAACATTTATCATGTTTCGATCCTTGACAGTTTCTACAATCAATTTTTTTCAAAAATTTTGAATTTTTAAAATACGAGACGCGGATAATGTTTAAAATTTAACAATCATCCTACAGCATGCAAAAACTCACTTGATTGCATAATATGAACTAATTGCTAAATATAATGTTTAATAATGTTTAAATTCAAACGCGGATAATATTTAAAACTAAACAATGATGCTATAGCATACATAAATTAATTTGATTATATAATGTAAAATATTAGCTACAATTATTAAAAGTCTTTAGTGTTATTTTGCAGTTACTGAATATTATATTTATTTACTGAATAATCAAAAACATGATTAAAATTATTATAAGTCCTAAGCTTTGACAAAACAATCAGTATATCTTGGAAAAAGAGCTTTTTGTTCTAAGAAACACTACATGCTTCCACAAAAAGATTATCTTATGCAAGATATCAAATTCATTAAGATAACTTTAAAAGGCATTGTAAACTTTATATTAATGTAATGATAGAATAAGAGTAAAAGAAATTAAAATTTTCGCTGATATCTTCCTTTTTGTTTTTTTTCCTAAATATTTTACAAAGTAATTTAATTTGATAAGAAGTATTACAATTATAATATGTTTTTTAACGTCATAAAATTTTATAACGGTAAAATATGATTGCTTCTGATTCTAGGAAACTTTTTTAAATTAAAGAATAATGAGTTATACTACCGTTCAAATTTGCTTTAACCTTAATATGGTTGTTATATCATGTTATCGTAATTCATAAAATTGATAACCCAACTAAAATTTGATTAAGTATTAAATATGATTGCATCTGACTCTTCAGAACGTGTTGAGCAATATTATTGTTTAAATTTGTCTTAGCTATATTATGGTGCTAAACTAAACCATATTATCGTAATTTAGTAACCTAAATTAAGCTTGATTATTTGTTAAACATGATTACACTTGACTCTAACACACCTTTAGAAATTCTGGGGCATGATTAATTATAATAACGTTTATATTTGCTTCAACCTCGTTATGATGCAAAGTTAAATCATATTATCGTGCTTTATTAAATCATAATAAAATTCAACTTGAACCAGGTTTAATTTCACACTTTATTATGAAAGTAGAAAATTCGAGCCATATTGTGAACCAACGTTGAATTGACTACATATGCTTATTTAAGATCAACGAATATAACATAAAACTGCGGTTTAGTAAATATAGTACGTTGGTTTTTATTAAATTAGTATATTTACAACATTGCTTCAATTTCTTATATGAGCGCTAATCTACAAATATAAAAATGTGATAGTAAAATTCTAAAAGTTTTTTTTTTTCATATTTACTTATCCTTTTTCGCTATAAGTAACTAATCGGTTAACAATTTACTGTAACAAATTGAATAAATTACATTACATTCGTCGTTCGTGCTAGACATTAAGCGAGTAGCCAACATTGAGTCATCGCAAGCAACCACTTTAGTTACTCAACCGGTTATTATTCGTGTTACTCAAGTTATCATTTAAAAATAAATGCGAAAAAAAATTCACTCTGCGCCTTCTAAAGGGTAAGCAAATGATATAATCCGGTCTATCCAACAATTTACTTGACGAAATACATTTTTTAAAAACGAAAAAAAAAAAAAATTACTTTCAGTAAAATTGATGCTATTTTCACTTTGTCACTGTATGTAATTTAAAAATTACTTACAGGGACAAAAGTTAGTTTTTGTTTCCTTATCAGTTTTCCTATCTGTAATATTTTGAAAAATTAACAAGAATACCAAAAGTGATTTTAAAAATAACGAGAGCTAATTGATTATAAGTGTTATAATTTAAAAATAAAATGCAAGTACTAATTTTTTGTGTCTACCATTTTTGTGCAATTAATTTTTATTTACCTACATAAAAGTTGTCAAAATGAAATTTCTTTAAGATAAGGTTTTACACTATATGTATTCAAAAATTAATAGATGTTATAAGTAAATTTTTCTTTAAATACTATGAATCATTGTAGTAAATTTAAGAGCAAAAAGTGCAGGATACTGAAGTTAATTTAAAATGAACTTATCTTTTAAAACGTAAATTAAAAATCTCATAAACTTGAAGCGTTTTTTAAACTGATCCTTTTTAATTGAAATCAGTGTCAGTCAAATTATTAATCAATTATATGAAGTAAGAGGGAAAAAAATTGTGGTTAATATTTCAAATGTTTGTAGTATGTTATGTGACTTAATATTTGATACTCAAGCTGGAAGTCCTGGAAACATTTCTATAGGGTAATTGAAGTAATAATCGATAAATATCTGAAATGCAAAAGTTGCAAAAACGTTTTTTTCTTCTTCTCTTTAATTTAAAGCATTTTTTGAAAAATTACAGAAATATTTTCATAACGTATCAAAACGTCAATTCGAAATCTTTCATTTTCGCAACCGATATTGAACAATAACATCTACGTTTCTATATATTCAAAAAGTTTCGGAAATATTAAAAGAACGTTTTGTTTTACTATTAAAAAGTTATGGTTTT